GCCATGTTTTTGTGCATTAAGAGATTTCCTTTTCACTAACATCAAAAATGCAAGGAAATACCACAAGCAAATTTTAGAGCTGGCCGACTTAGTCTGTTATACATCATTTTTCGATTTTGAAGAAAAGACATATCTACAAGGAAGAGGTGTGCCAATGGGTAGCCCTACGTCTGCTGTATTATGTGAATTAGTCTTGCGTCAGATGGAAAGCAATATCCTGCCCATGTTTCAAAACGAAATAATATTATACTCAAGATATGTAGATGATATTTTCATTCTATGGAGAAATGATAACAACATGCAATGTTTTCTAAACACAGTCAACAATAACCCATATGGTTTAACTTTGGGTCTAGAGCAAGAGAGTAGTAGTAATATTAACTTCCTCGATTTATCTATCAAATGCAAGGAAGGAGAAATCTGGACGGACATTTATTGCAAACCAGTTTATCAACCTATCCTTATTCCCAGGAATTCCATCGATCCTAGGCACATTAAATATGCAGCGATTCGGGCATGGATTAAACGGGCATATACGCATTGCACGAGTATCTATAATACTTACAAAGAGTTGGATTACATTAGGAAGACAGCAATGCAGCAAGGTTATCGGAGGGGGGAGGTGAACGAGCTTATTACGAAGTTTCAGAATCAGAATCGGCAGCATCCCAAAAAAATGACCCAGGAACGAAGAGTAGTTCTTAATTATTTTCCTTTTTTAAACAAAATGATTAGGAGGATGGCGAACAGTAATAATCTACAAATAGTATATTGGCATAATCCGACGATCTACAGAATGTTAAGAAACGATAAGAGAAAGGAACAGAAAAATAATTTACCAGGAGTTTATTCTATACCTATAAAGGATCAGCATTTCAACTCGGACCTTGTTTACATGGGTGCTACTATGTGGCAGTTAAAACAAAGACTCAAGGAACATAAATACTCTGTGAGTAAGAACACAGATGCCACAGTGCTCACAGCATTTGCCAAACAGCCAGAGATCAAGGTATATTGGGATTAAGCCTCAATAATTAGAGCCACGAATTCCAAACAAGCAGTGAAACACCTTGAAAAGCTAGAGATACACAAGGCACACATAAATAAGGGATGCATTAATCATAGAGATGCAGAAGGGTTATCTTATGCCTGGAAATCCTTTTACAATAATGCAGATTAACACCTTGTAATCAATGTATATTCCCCCTTTTTTTGGCGGCTTTATTATTTTTATGTTATTTGCAAGTTATTTATAGATTTTCAGAAGACGCAAGTCTGATGAATTATGCATGCGCATTTTGGTTTCTGTTTAATTTGTATTTCATGCGTTCTTTTTTAGTGTTCTTTTTTAATATTGATTCAACTGAAGATGGCCATTTAAAAATGGTTGAAAACATTTTTATTAAACATCTTTTATTGCTGGATAGTTAAAGGTTTATTTTATTTTATATTATCTTTCCTTTGATAGGAACCTAAGATGACAAAATTTTGTCTTGTTAGAATTTTGTAACTAAGCCAAAATTTTGTAATATNTATTTGCAAGTTATTTATAGATTTTCAGAAGACACAAGTCTGATGAATTAAGCATGTGCATTTTTGGTTTCTGTTTTATTTGTATTTCATGCGTTCTTTTTTAATATTGGTTCAACTGAAGATGGCCATTTAAAAACGGTTGAAAACGTTTTTATTAAACATTTTTATTGCTGGATAGTTAAAGGTTTATTTTATTTATATTATTTATTCATTCCAGTATAAGTTCTTGTTTTTATTTATTTATTTAGTAAAAAATAAATTATTTAGCCAAGCTAGAACAGCGAGATGAATATCCAAATAATTTTTTAAAAAGATTAGTAAGGAAGATGTAACTAAATTAAATGCCTTAATGATGTCAATATATACAATGTATAGCAGGTAGGTTTTTATTCTCAAAATTCTTAATTATTTCATGTTGAGTAGAAACTAAATTAGTAATGGTAGATGAAACTCAAATGCTAGTGTTGAATGTAATTAACTCTGGTTGCAATAGGACAAACAGTAGATAATGTTCCAAGGTTTTGAATAAAGCTACAGACAAATATATACAGTAATACCTCATTACAAAATACACTAATTTGTTCATGCTTCTTAGCCAGAAAACAAATAATAATTAATAAAAAAAATTATTTAGTCATAATTCCATATTATTATGAAAAGAATACCTAAAACCTTGCAAATTTTACTGCTCAAGTAAAATTTGCAAGGATCTAAATAGGCTCAGGCTCTAAATAGAAATAAAGAGTATCCAAAAAGATATTGACTCTTAAGTTACTATATAGACAACATAGTATGAAAATTATAGTTCTATTTACTGTATAGCTTTTTAAATTTTGAATATATTGTTGTAGTAACAACCAGTCAAGATAAAGTAGGTTTCAAACTAATACATAGTTCAGTATATATAATTGTGCTACTAACATGCACAATTATACTCATCACCGTACTCACATGCACCATAAATAGTTTCCATACTTTTGGTCACTACCAAACTTCATAATTACATTAAATATATCTTACCTTCTGGAATTTCTTCATTTGGATATAAATGTCCATGAATATCCATAGCAAAATCCACCATGTTAGTATTGCTAAGTAAATCTAATTTTCCTTGCAATAATTCTTTCTCACCATATATCTAAATAAATAAAAAATATATGTACATAATTCTAAAAATTATTTCTAGAGTAAATTATTATATATTTACAGTAGAATCCTGCTTTTATGACCTAACTTTCTCAGAAAAATATATCAGGTGAGTTTTCATAACCAATTTCCTATAAGTTTAGTATCATTAAATGAGGTTTCTTTCATGGAAATATAGTTTGAACTGTATAATATTTACACAGATATGGTTAGTGAAGAAAATATAGCTTAAATATAGCTCTAGTGCCCAAACTGTGGTCCCACAGCCAAATCAGGTCTGCAGCACATGTCAATATGGCATGCAAACATATTTGACATATCATTTATGATAGAAATGGGTATATATGAAATATACAAAATATTTGTTGCCCACCTACTCAGTGTACGTAACTAAACACGTACGAGTGCACAGGCACAGGGGTTAAGATATGGCCCTGAAATGGGTTACTAAAGAAATTATGAGTATTATATTTTCATTTTGTAAATTTTGTCACCATGGACACTGGCTTCATATATTTTTAGTTGAAGTTAAAAATTAACTGATCCATTTTTATTATAGTTTTTAATTTTTATTTCTAAAAAGGGAGGGCCAAAAATAAAGTTTTGCACAAAGTACATGAAAATCTAGTTATAGAATTATGCCTACCTGCAACTAGTGTGTAATTTGGCCTGGTAACTGAAAAGTTTGAATACCATTAGCGTAAATTATATTTAAAAAAATTTACATTTATTGTAAAAGCAGAGTACTCTTCTACATTTACACATTCTATAAATACGTACTGTAGAGTACATTCATTATTAGTATATAAGTACATTTACTTATTTTCTCTATCATCAGATTTCCTCTAGATTATTTAGACCACGGGTTCCCAACCTATGGGTCGCGACCCAGAAGGGAGTCGTGACGGGTTTTCTGTGGGGTCGCCAACTTATACAGTAAACTAAAAAAATATTCACTATAATGCAATTTTTATTTTTAATGGTGTCTTGAAGTTTGAATAATTTCATANCTTTTATTGCTGGATAGTTAAAGGTTTATTTTATTTTATATTATCTTTCCTTTGATAGGAACCTAAGATGACAAAATTTTGTCTTGTTAGAATTTTGTAACTAAGCCAAAATTTTGTAATATACAGTATAACATATTTTAAAAAATTCTATTATTTTATTTAAAAGTATTTTTAGTTTTTTGACTCTTTCCACCCTTTGTACATAAAGAGGGCTTTTTATCAAGGCTGATAGTGGAATGGAGCAAGTGGGTGGTGAGGGAAAGAACTTGACCACCCTGAAAAATTCATGGAGTTTTTTGATTCACTTGGATTCATTCCTGGGTCTCCAGGGCAATAGGCTGAAATCTTAAGTAAAAAGCTAGATGACTGAGTGGTTAAAAGTATTAAAAAACACATTAAAACAAAAAATAAACAAAACAACTTAAAAGAAAAAACAGTACTTGCTTCATATTTCAGCTTTCAACAAGTATAGTTCATTTCACAACTTTTGACTAGGCTGTAAGAATGTGCATTAGCAAGGACTAGTCTATTTACTTAGTGAAGGGAAAGAATGTTTGATGAAAATCTATGACAAGGTCATTGTGCATTACCAAAAAGAGGCTCTTGAACTTTATAAAACTCCCAAAGTCCCAATCAAGTATCATGCATTGCCTGGTCAAGACAGAGGAAACAATTTGTTTATCTCTTTCTCTTTCAAATTTACATATTTTATCTCTATATTATATGTATAATAGTATATAAAATTAACTTTTATCTTTAAAATAGATACTTTCATGAACCAAATGATAAAAAAGAAAACTTATAAGGACCAAATTCAAGAAAAAGGACTTTCAGTGACTCTTAGAGACCTGTTGAGAGAATTGGAAATGAAATGGAAATACACTGGAGATTTAATAAAAATAATTTTAATTTGCAAGAAATAATCTGTCTGTTACTTGTTTACTTCAAAATGGGCTGAAGTTCAAGGCCTTTGTTTCTTATTGTAAAATCCATGCAAAAATTTCAGTTGCTGCTGCTGGTAAATGAATGGACTAAGTGTAACCTATCATTTAATCTAATCTCAAAGACTATACCTTTCCAATATACTCATACACTTCAGTTTTTTGCTATTTCTAAAAAATAAGGTTCTCTGAACATTAGCCCTTTTTGAATTGATGGCATCAATTATTTTTATTGTGCCAGTAATAGACAAAGATGAAAATAGGTACAGTATAATAAGCATTATTTTATATACTGTATATATAAATTATAAATTTATACTGTATAAAAAATGTACTGATAAATTATTTTACAAAATGTAAATAAATAATTGAATTAAAATAAAATGAAGCTTGGATTACCACAAATGAATAATAATTATTGTTTATTCTTGAGAGAACTTTGAAAATTTCAACGATATATTATATACAAATTGAAGGTATCTACATTTTAAAAATTTTGTAATTCTATTACCTGATATGGTTTCTCTCCATAAGATAATGCTTCCCATAAGGAAACTCCATAACTCCAAACATCTGACTTTGTACTGAATTTAAAGTAGTAAATACATTCTGGAGCATACCATTTTAATGGCCATTTTCCAGCAACTTCAGCCTTAATGTAGAAAAAATAAAAAAATTAATAAAAATTATTTTATTAATTTATTTAAATATATTGATATATGGAAGCTTAATTACCCGATAATATTCCTTCCCCAGTCCCAATGCTCTAGACATACCAAAATCACTAATTTTAGCAAAACTTTCATTAACAAGGAGCACATTACGAGCAGCTAAATCTCTATGTACAAATTGTTTATTTTCCAAATATTCCATAGCCATTGATACTTGCATCATCAAATATAAAATATCTTGTACAGACATATCTCTGAAACAAATATATAAATTTATATTTTAATAATTATATTATAAGATAAAAAAATATATTTCAGCTGCTTATATTATTCTTATACAGTTGTTGATAATTTTTGTAAATGTTAATGGCATAAGTCTATCTTAAAACAATTTTAATGAAAAACAAAATTAAAAGTAATATACAGTAAAATCTGCTTATCATAATGATAATTATTATATAAAATTACATTAAATTCTTAATTGGTTTCATTCCATTGTTGAGCAGACTTGAAAATGATCCATATTTGGATCAAAAGTAGTCAAGTTAAATAAATTTTGCTACTTTACAGATAACATAACAATAGTTTCTTATATACAACATACTTTCTCAATGTAAATTTATTAATCTCAATTATTTAGATATAGTAGGTGCTACTTTGGGACTAGCTTATACTGATAACAATAACAGAGTAATAACTTTATGCAGTGAAATTAATTATTATTATTATTAATAGACTCGAGTATTTCATCTGTAATTACATGCCACCTATTTTTTGGCAATACAGTTGATTCTGCTTAATTGGGACCTGACTAATTTGTCCCAATAAAGTGAACTTTATGGGATCAGATAAAATCTAAGATAAAAAATGAGGAATAAAAACCATTTATTGAAAAATACAATTAATATTCAGTATGAATACATATATGTAAATAAATTCAAGTTCAAGAGTAACATTCAATAATTAGACAAAAAAATTATTATTTTTGCAGAAATTTACCTAGCATATTTTGATGCAATTTTCTTTATACTCTTACAAGTGTACAAAATTGGCACAGGCATCCAACACAAAAATGGGACTTCCTTCATTTCCATCTTGTATAAAACATCATCTTATTCAGGAATAAATTTTGTGGCTTCCTAGTCACCTATGCCATGATCAAGAATATCATCTCCATCTGCTTCCTTATCTTCTTTAGGTTTTAGATGTTTTTCCAAAACAACTTGTTTAATAATTGCATCTACACAATTCTCATTTTATTGCAATGTGGAAGGTTCTTATCAATGTACAAAAATTCTGTGTGATTTCTAACATTTTGTAGTTTGTAAGTGATTTTACTATTATTATTGGTTATATATGGCATTTCTTGTACTGAAGTCTTAAAACCGCAATGAGAAAAGCAGTTTCAAATTGTGTTACAGCTTACTTTTCTTCAACTATCAGCAGCAGTTTTGTATTACTTGTAATATAGTAACCTTGAAATTACTTTCATTTGTTTTTACAGATGATAATATATTATGGTAACTCCCATAGACGTGGTGTCTGCAGGACTGAACAAAAACAAAAGAAAAAACAAATAGTCAGTACAATAGCATGTGATGTAAGAACAAAAGGTTTATTGGTGACACTATACACATTTAACACAAACTATACACAATTCAATTTAGCAATGTCCAGTTACATTACAAATTTGTCTTTTCTTTACTTCTATCCTTCCTCCACAAGAGGCCCCTTTAACACCTGACAAAATAAAAAAAATAAAAAAAAATGCAAAGAACAAAAAAAACAGAGGAACATACAAATGTTCATTTTAAAAAGAAAAATCATATGTTTTGATGACACTCCATTTAGTCCTTTGTTCCTTTAGGTAGTGCTTTTCTTCCCTTGCTTGTATTTCACTTTGATGGCAATGGATTCTTTAACAGTGCCATACTTTTTAATCCTAGGATGGTTATTCTTCTAGACAGCTCTCTCTCTTTGCAAGATGACTTTAACTGGAACTTCTTTGTTTGATGTCTATCCTTGTTGTCCCTTGGAGCCCTTACGAGTTATGGCATCATCCAGTAACCAAAACATGAAAGCCAGAAAAAAAAAAGATACATCACATGGATTACCACCATATTTGTATCCCCCACCAGTGGCTGCCTCTCTGTTCCATGTGACCATTCCTTGGGCCAATCCCCACATCTCATACCTCATCAGCAGAGAACCAGTGGTACAAAGGAAGGAAAGGAAGAGGGACATGCACAATAACAGAAAAAAATGATACGACACAAACAAAGAATAGAAAGAAAAAAAAATAATAGTACATATTAGTTGCGAAGCACTACAATATTTTCTTCAATTGCTACAAGGATGTATTGTACCAGCATTCCATGATACATTTTCAAATTTTTTGTGACTCCTATAACCATTGGTTGTATCAAGATGTGGTATTAGCCAGAAGAAACTCCAGATGAATGTTTTTCAAACATACATGAGATGAGCAGGAGAGTTTACCATGAGTAGCAGAAAGAAACTCTCCTGCTCATCTCATGTATTCTGTTTATGGTTCTGCTTCTGGAACTGGAAACATTAACCAAGACAGTTCCTCAGACTGTTATGTTTCATCAGAATTGCTTAGTCTGTTGGACTAGATGATTTCTTGTCAAATGTATATACATAATAGAATGTGTCTCTCCATTTTTAGCTATTTGGTCAATCTGCTCCAAATTATTCTTGCTTAACTCGGACTCTGATGAAAATAGAGACTATCATGAAACCTGGATGTCATACTCCAGCCCTGATTTCATCCTCCATAGTAACTCATAAACCCTTTGTCCAATCTGCAACAGCTTTTTAATACTTATTCTCTGAGACTCCAAGAAAAATATAGACTTCCTCGAAATCTGGACATCCCACTCTTTCCAATTTGATCTCCTTGACCTTTCATGATAAATATAACAATAGTAGGTTAAAATAACCAAATTTGTAATATGGTTTTCACTTTAAAATTTAATTATTAAGCTTCTAACTTTTTGGTCAGACAAAATGTCACACACATCTACTAGTTACTAATAAAACAAATAATTTCAAACTCTAATAAAAATTTAAATTTAAAAATACTCTAAACTAATTTAATTATTCCTAAAATCTCATAAAACATTTTCATTTGGTTCAANAAATATACAAAATTTCAGAAATTTTCAACAAAACACAGAAGTTATTAAGTTTCAAAGTGAATAAACAAAATCAAACTCCAAATGCACACACTAAAATCCATACATACAGGGAAAAAACCTCTAAATTTTTTTGGTTTTCTCAATGTTTCAAAATAGGAAAAAAAATAAAACAAATATATAATATAAGATTACAATGGCAAATTACAACAGTAAATTATAAAGTACTTTTTACACTTACATTTAAAAAAAATAACATTGGTTACATTTAAAGTTGCTGTAACCGCACAATAAAAAGATCTATTTAAAGACAAAAATTGGGCAGTGACAAACAAGACATTTTGAGTTAGTCTAGAAGGAACATGGATGAAAGTATTATGTGGAAAGAGTAACCAATTAAAATACCTATAAAATAATAACTGATCAAAATAAATATTACAGGTAGCCCTCGGTTTACACTGCAGTTCCATTCCTACAAAAGCCGGCATAAAACGAACCCATATTTACAGTGAGGTATAGGGTTAGGTTGTACATAAGTGAAAAAGAAGCAAATAATTTTGTTTATTAATATAATATAATACAAAATATATATAAATTTAATTTTTAAAATGTATTTTATCATAAAATAAAGTGAAATGTTTTTATTAAAAAATTTTAGTTTTGGATCTCTTCATTTTTTGGAAAAAAGTATCCATCTTTAATTGTTTACATTTTTATTTTCTTTCATTGAGAATTTCGGAAAATGATCGAATGGATGCATGATGCTCCTTTTTACATTTGCACTTCACTCCCAATCATTGTCTAACTCACAAAGTTCATCCGTCAAACTTTCCATAGTTGAAAGGATACATTAACCTGACAGAGCTACAGACGAGCGGAGACACTGATTGGTCGACCACCGGTCGCCGTAGCACATATATAAGGTCAGTTTGAGTGGGAAAATTCAAGATGGCTAAGGGGAGATAGATATCGTCTGGCCAATGATTAGTAGATTTGTCTCACTAACAACAGTTTGTGATCACTGGAAGTGCTACTACATTGTAAGATGTTTTCCTGAATGAACTGATAGGGGATACATTCACTGGTGCTATGGATTTGGATGCTATTTATTGAACTATAAGTTTGATAACTTGACTCATGGGTACCAAAATGTTTAGTATTTTAATATTAATTTAATGCAAATGTATACATACCCAATAATATTAATCAGAAAAAATAAATATATTCAATAAAAATCTTTGTTTTAACGAATGTACAATGTTGTGGCTTGGTAAATAAGTCAACACTGAAATGAAAATCAGTCTGGCATAGGGAAAACTGGGGAATTACACCGCGAAATGGCAAATTGCGCAGCGGCGTTATTGTGAATCGGCATAAACTGAGCCAGCATAAACCAAGGGTTACCTGTACATGAAAAGAATTTTGAGAATCCAAATCTTATTTGTGCCACCTCACTAGAGTCAGTATAAAGTAGATAATCTAGCTTGTTAAGTAAAAGGCAAACCTTACAAAATGCATTCAAAATCTTATTAAGAAGTGATGGAGCTGCTGTTGACCACCATAAAGGCAGACAACAGTTGACCAGGGGTTGAAAATTAGTGAAGATAGATCTAAAATCTTATCGTGATAAAATCAAATTACAATGATGTTACAATATTTCTTTTCTGAAAGTTAAATTTCATAGTAGCTTATCAATATGGTGTTTGAAGATTAATTTTTTATTGAAAAAACTAGGTCACTATGTAGAATAAACACAATTAATTTTCTGTCTGTAAATATAAAAAGTGTAATAGTTTGGACTTCTTAATCGTGAATAACACAGATACTGTTTTGGATAAATTAACTTTAAGATTTAAAGACTCGAGGGAGGTGACTAAAATATTGAGATCGGTTTATAAAGTTTCTAGATCAAAGTTAATTTTTATTTAGATCATCAGCATAGGTTATTATTTTAGAATTAACACAATGAATAGCAAGATCAAGATAATTAATAAAAAGGCTACTTAAAATGAATTCCTGAAGAATTCCACATATTGGAAGAAATTACAAAAAGAAATGTCTCCTAGTTTAACTTTTCANAAAAAAAAGATACATCA